TATTCTTAAAGTTACTCATTTTTCAAGTTTTGTTGGATTGAGTAAATTAAGAGAGGTACACTGAATTGAATATGTAGAGAATAGTATAGAAAAGAAAGACGTGAGATCACTGGGATGTATGTTCATTGTTTGTCCAATCTTGTAGAATTCAACATGCATTTTGTGTCGGGACCCGGGATGCTTTATAGGTGCAACGCACTTGTTCTCTAGCGTCGTTGTTTTGAATCAACACCTTCGTACAATTCTCATTTCAAAAATTACATGGCGTTGTATATCTATTATTTACTATACTGAATTTGGTTGATTCTCTTGTACTCTTTCTATTCATTTAGGACAAATTGGATCAATAATACTCTAAAATCTTTTGAGTATCAAAACATGGCTTTCTATCTTAGAAGTGTTAAGAATAGCTCAAAACTTTATATATTGATTTGTATATTTATACTTAGAGCTTGTTTGGGAGAGATTTTTGGGAGAAGAATTGATTTTGAATAGTGATATGATGGGAAATGTGTGGTTGAAAAAGAAGAAAAAATTATTGATGTGATGGAAAATATTACTTTATTGAAGAATGTGTGGTTGAAAATGAGAATTGATTTACTGTAGAAAAATTTAATTCCTCCCAAACAGGGCCTTAATCTATATAAAATTTTACCTTTAACATGTCCTGCAAATGTGGCTCGTTTAAGCACTAACTTTGGAATCCAAATGCTTGTTTGACTTTATTGGACTATGATACGATATTTAAACACAGAGTTCCATGCTAAAATATTAACCTTATTATAAAAAGTAACTCAAATCCTTGGGTGTTGAATAACATTTTTATAATTAACTAGTGTCAGATTTTACCTTTAACATTGTCCAGCCGAACCTACTAAACTTGTAACTAAAGAAGTATCACATTTGGAAGAGTTCCTTGTTCTACTTGTACAAGGATAAAAACAAGTTCTCTTGTTTATTTCTCATATGTTAATTTGTATATTTATCTTTAATTGATATAGAATTTTACTTTTAACATGCCCCGTAAGATAACGGCACATTTGAGCACATAATTCGAATTTAAGCTCTTGTTTGATCCCTCATTTTTTCCAAAATATATTTTTCTCTTTTTTTCAATCATACATTCTTCAATAAAATTGTATTTTCATAAATAATAGATAAATACAGTAGTTGCTAAACTGTTAATTCTTTATTGTACCAACAAGAATTAAGAAAAAGAAAAACTTCTGGTAGTTACTGCCTGTTGATCTTTAATTAATAAGTAAATTATTTTTAATTAACAAGTTACTAATCTCTTATTAAAATAAGTGGAAATTCAGTAAGAATAATTAATAAATAAGCTTCAGAATATGGCAGACTTTCTCTTTGCACATGTCTGTCTCTTTCAATAATAATGTTCGGTTCGAAATAAGTTGAAGCAGAAATTAATTAATGAACCAAACTTCATTTTCTTGTTGAATGCGAATGGGAACAAAGAGCTTGACTTTGAATGTATGGGTCCCCACGACAAAAAAATTTAAGTGTTGGTATTTGTATATACTTTCTTACAGCCTATAAGTAATTATTGTGGAAGGGTTTCTTGCGGCTCGCGCGAGATGGTGGAAGGGGTTGAGGAGAGCTGTAGAGGGCGAGAGAAAAAAAAAAAAGATTTCTTCTTTTGAAGTAAAGTAAAAATGACTTTTAAATATTTTTTTGTTTTTGATCTATTAACAATCGAAGAGCGACACTTGATTACTGAAAGAAATGTATAAGATATGAATAACGTTATGTAGTTCCACTGAGATTACAACTCCAGTTTAGGTGGCTCTGGATGATAGAATAAATGAAATGTGACATATCATACGCTATCTAAATTGGGATTGTAACCTAAGTGGGGTTGAATAGCATTACTCATAAGATATTTCACCATTCATGACTCGGTCCTAATTGTGAATTTTTCATGAATAGTTGCCAGAGTAACAAGAAGATACAATTAGTAACATAATAACTAAATGATGAAAGAGGATACCTATTGGCAAAGTCAGTAATCAACGGTCAAGATGTACAAATATGGCTGAATTGGCACAATTAGTAGTTGTCCAGGATGGAAAAATAACATAGGCCATCAACTACATATTTATGACTTCCATGAACAACTATAATAATATCATCACGAGATAATTGTGTTTATTGTACGTCAATCAAAGTCTAGCACAAAAGACAGAACTTGCCAATTGTAGCCATAGACCACAGCCCATTGTCCACAACAACAACCATTGTCGATTATCGCCTATGATCAATCACAATCGTTGCAACTTTTTGATCGAGAATCTTTGACTTAGAAATAATTGAAATAGAAAATACAGTTATTTTTTTAGGTAATGAAATATAATACAATATAATGACGTGTTTAAACATTCTAGTATAATTTATCCTACTAATTTCAATGTGGTCTTAAATATTTCAACACCAAAATAAATTCAAACATATTTGTGAAAATTGGAGGTAGGTTTCTTAACCTTTCAAGAAGTGCAGTTTCGGTTTTCAATATTCAAAATTGAGGTTCTTAAATTTGTTAATTTGAGACATTAAAATTGTTCGCAACTTTCATGTGACTTAAAGATAAAGGGCAAAATAGTCAAATATTAACGTAGAGACTCAAATTATAAGATTTAGCGTGACTTTCACATCTCATTTTAATATTTACATTGTGGATTTTCGTTACATGAGGATCAAGATTCACATATTTAAATACATTGAAAATCCCATATCTTCATTGTTGAAGGTTGAAAGCCAATACCACACATTATGTGATTAGAGAGCCACCCTAATTTTTCCATAATGGAATATAATTATAATTACACAATACGGAGAATTCTATGAGAAACTTAGGTTTTAAGGGAATCTTCTATAAAATACATTTTTACTTCCTCCACTCACCCCACCCCACCCCAAAACCCCTATATATAAGGAACCTTCTTTCTCATTTTCCAAAAGACCCCAAATTCCACTCTTCTTCTCCATTTCGTCTTCAAGAATCAAGCTCTCTTCTTTAGAAACTTCTGCCCCAATACACAATGGCAAAAGGAGGCAAACTCACCAAGCTCAAGTCTATGCTAAAGAAAATGCAATCTTTCAAGCTCAGCCGCGCCAATGACACCTCCATCAACAATTTCTTAGATGATGATGAAACCGCCGCCGGAAAAGAACTCCACCCCGTCTATGTCGGCAAGTCACGGAGGCTCTATCTCATCACCGCCAACGTCATGGACAATCCGCTCTTCCGGGAGCTGGCGGAGCGGTCCGGAGCCACTGACGACTCGATCACGGTCGGGTGTGAAGTTGTGCTTTTCGAGCATTTGCTTTGGATGCTGGAAAATGCTGATCCTCAGCCTGAAGCCTTAGACGAGCTTGTCGAGTTTTATTCATGTTAATGCATTTTATTAACTGAAAATAACTACCCGGGGGGGTCTATGGTCATTCCTATGTATGTATATAGTTTCTAAATATTAATGTTTTTTTGTTTCAACTTCTAGTCTCGTTTTCCTACTTTTAATAAAGTGAGAGGATGGTGTAACATTCAAACAAGATCCCTTGACATCTTGTTTGGACTGATGATTGAAGTATTTGCTCACCGAATTATTTCAGCTGTGTTATGTTATTTGTTCATCATTTCAACTTTTTATTCCCATTAGTCATGTTAACGATAAGAAAATATTTATGTACTCAATCTATTATAAATTAATTTAAAATAAAATTTTCAGCTTGTTTGTTCCACATTTTTGCTTCATTTGCAGAAAAAAATGCACCGTTGCCAATCAAATCAGCCACCATCTTTGACTTTTTTATTTCACACAAATTCAAATTCTTTGAAAATAACGGTCAGAATTTTTATAATTTTGGCCAAATAATTTGAGCCAAACAGGGGCTTAATTCGATTTTTTTGTTGTCTCTTTTACTAGAAACATTTTGAACATAGTTTCTATTAATAGCTTAATTTGAACCAATGTTAACAAATTTTTCAATTGATATTTGTATTTCATTTCAATTTTCCAAATTTATAATTACTTTAGAGGAACGTTATGAGCATGTTTGGTAAAATTTAAAAATAAATAAAAGATATTTTTCAAGTAAAGATGTTATGAAGTCCGTTCATTAAAATTATATTGTAAATATATGCGGCGTAATCTCTATAAATTAGTAATGTTTATTATATAAAAAATTTGGTCCCAATTTGAAATAATGGGAAAAATTAATCCTCAATAAATAAATAAACTCTATTATATTGAAATTAATTTAACAGTTAATTCACAAATTACCTAAATTAAGAAAATATTCGTCTAGTGAGTGTTTGGTAGGGATTAAAATTGGATTTTTAGTAGATTGTGATAGAAGTTTTTGAAATGTGTGGTTGAAAAGTCGTGGGACAAATGAAAGATGTAGTTAATATTGATTGTTTGACTTTGACTTAAATTAAAATTTGATTTTAATCCGAAACAAATGCACCATTTAGAACTGTGTTTATTATTAAATGAAAATGTTTCACTTTTCTCTACAGCAGAAATTTATATTCTTATTATTATTATTATTATTATTATTATTATTATTATTATTATTATCGCGTTTTTTTTTGTAACGACCATACCTTACACCGGAGCCGTCATCATATCTTCTTATGTACTGTTCGCTTTGAGATAGTCTATGCCCATCTTATCCCTCACGTCCCCCAAGATTCGAACCCAATATCTCCATCATTGGTACCAGGATTCAACTTAAATCTCTCATATGATAGAGGTCTTGGGTTCGAATCTTGGGGGACGCATCGAAAGCCGTGAGGGGATTAGTACCAGGGTTCAACTTAAGTCTCTCATATGATGGATGTCTTGGGTTTGAATCTGGGGGGACGCGTCAAAAAGTCATGAGGAGTAAGATGGGCATAGACTCTCCTAAAGCGAACAATACGTAAGATATGATGACGACTCCGGCGCAAGGTCGGGTCGTTACAAAAATTATTATTATTATTATTATTATTATAATAAAGCAAGTGAAGTCAAAGAAACATTGCAGGAGAATCAGACATTAATAAAAATGGATAATTTATTATTAATTATACGAAGCAAATGATTAGGTTGGTAGGGATGCTGTTTTTGGAACCGTTAATTTTATCAAACGATGTGTTTATTGTTAGATGGAATTTTTCATTACACTTTTTGAAAGACACAATTTATAATAATGCTACTAAGTGGTAGACACGACATTTATATTTATTTAATTGATTTTGGCATTTGGTAACTTCATTATCTTTAACGCGTTTCTACCTTCCCCCACTCAGCTAATCCATATATCGATTTCCCGATTGTTCATTGATAAAGTCTAACATATTAAATATGACACTTGAAATATTTATCCAATATGATGTCTAACTTTAACAATGAGTTATATAGAAATGTCTGAAAGGATAATGTTTCCATTAAACAACTATTTGTTGAAAATTTACAATTATTATAAATAAATAAATATACAAAATCACAATTAATTAAAATAACAAATGACTTATCTTCTGCAATATTCTAAAAAGTGCGCCTACATGCGAGAAGTGGGCGAGACGTCCCCCTTGGCAGTACGCGTGGATTTAAGCCTTCAATTGCCAATTTGTCCGCTTAAGAGTGCCTAGTCGCACTTTATTATTATTTTTTTCAAAAGCTTTTTATTTGAATTTAGTTTCAAGTTTTTAAATGACTCTATCTATACAAAAGTCAAAGATGAAAACAAGTTAGAAAAATAGTTTAGCTATTGTATTTTGAAAATTGTATAATTGACTAATTGTGGAATTATTAAGTAAATATAGTCTTTTATTATTTTAGTTTTTTGATATATATTATTTTAATTATTAAATAATTTTTAGAATGATTAAAAATTAAAAATAAGAAAATATTTTTTTACGATGTAATCTCTTAAAACTTGAAGTTTGACCTTCACACGTAATAAAGCTTTAGCTTTTGTTTTGCATCTAATTATTTGTGGTTCCAAACATTTACTCGTCTTTGTGGTTCCAAACATTTAAAACTTGGAATTAACGTCCCAAACATATCCATTAGGATTACAATTGGTGTTTTGGATGGATTCCGTCCAAAAAAGTTGCTAGTTTTGCACGTGGACTTTTTTAGGATAAATTGCATATTTAGCCCAACATATGGCGAAAGTAGCAATTCTATCCCTAACCAGTTTTATGTCTTATTTTTGTCCCCAATATTTGATAAATTAAAAGTAAGTCCCCAATTCGGAATGAAATCTCTTACTGACACTATTTAAATTCAAAAGGCACATTATCAAATAAATCAAATACAAATCAAGAATCCGTCACATATTAACATCAAACCCACAATAAAATGTAACATTAGTTCTTCAAATTCTTCTTTATATATTGCTATGTTAGTATGCATTTGCTCTAATTGTATATAGAAATATACAATTTTATCCAAAAGTGAAAAAGAAAAAAAAATGTAACTGATGCAATAAAAGACTGACTGAATCTTAAATTATGAGGGACATATGAATGAGAAAATTAATATTTTAAATGGAAATGAAAGAGTAATTGAATTTTTGAAGAATAAAAGAATGATAAAAAA